TGAAGACTTTGAAGTAACTTACTCCATACAAGCTATAATGGGTGAGGATGCAAATGTAATGTGACAAACAAGTGTTGGTTTCATTCACCATAGGAAAATACAAGGATAAGTTGGTTTGTGACATGGTCCCTATGCATGCAAGCCATTTCATACTCATAAGGTTGTGGCACTACGACAAGAAAACCATTCATGATTGCTACACTAATTAGTATTTACTCAAGCGTGAAGGGAGGAAGAACGTCTTGGCATAATTATCACTTAAGCAAATTTAGAATGATCAGTTGCATATAAAAATATGTATAGAGGCAATGAAGAAGAGCCATGAATATTTTAAGTCTTTGGAAGAAATCAAGATGACAAGCCTATTTTCCAACAAACATAATGATTCATATGGACAAGCTGAAGAGTTGGTTACTTTTGGAAAGCATAATAATGAATCAAGGGGAGGAATTTAAGATATATATGTGCTTTCCAAACAATGTGGTTATCCAAAGGGATTAGAAACAAGACAAGTCCTTTCCTATATAGTCATGAAGTTTCAAGCCAAAGAGGAGTTAAGAAGTTGAATTCTTTAGCAAAAGGATGTGATCATAGCAAGCAATACAATGAAGGAGTCCAAATGACAAGTTTTTTCATCAAAGGGCAAGTCATTCCAAAAGAAATATATCATAGGCTTGTAAACATTCAAAATAAAACAATGTAATCAATGAAGGGTTCCAAGAGACTCGTGTCTTTATCAAGAGGCATGATGATAAAGAAGTACCATGAAGGAATTCAATGGATATTTGCTCATTCAAGAGGAAAAATGACAAGGAAATGTTATTTGGCACAAGCTATTATCTTCACTAACCATTCGTTCACAAGTCTTTCTTCTTTACTTTTGCATTATGTGCAAGAAGAATTAAGACATTCAAGTTCAAGGAAGAAGTATGGAGTCATCCATTCCCATAGCAAAGAACCATTCAATAGTGATGAGCTTTGATTTGAGAAAAAAATGCCTTAAAGAAGGGGATGATGTGATCCTGCTCATGCAATTGTTTTTATTCATGTTTCTTTCATCTTGTGTTATAAGGATGAAGGAAAGGGAAGCATTTACTTACCTCCATAACTTTACCTTTATTTTAAATTATATGGTTATTTTGCATATGTCATTCATCATACCTTATGTCATTATCACTGTTCTATATTCATCATTCATTATCATGTCATTCATTTACCTTATACTATGTTAGGTTTTATGATTTCATATCCTAGACCTTATATCATGTATTTCATGCATTTCCATATCACATACACATCTTATTATATGCATCTTATGTTAGGCTTAGTCATTTTATGTCATATTACGCATATCATGTACTTTGCATAGCATATTATATGTTTCCACATCTTTACTTAGCTTATTCTATGCATGTGTTATGTTTTTCATTCTTAGCTTACCTTTTCATATCATTTGCAATCATAACTTAGGTGTGCAACATGTATGCATTGAGTTCTTAGGTCATATACAATCTAATTGACTATTTTCATGCTTTACTTAGATGCATTATATGTTAAGGCAAGTTGTGGCATATAGTAGACAAAGAATATATGCTATGGCAACTCATATTATCCAATGGACAAGGAATGCTATTACACCTTTCCTAAATGAGCTTAAAGAATAACTAAAGGAGCTGAAGGGGAGTTGAACCTAACTGGAGAGTAGCTGAGGACCTAGTAGTTGAGTTAACTACTAAAGGCAGCTGAAGGGTAGTTGGAGTGTCACTAGCTAGCTAGCTTGACTCTACCTTGATACTACTCACCTAGCTACATATGCATTTACCTAGGTACCAATCATATGTAGACCTGAAATATTTTACCGGTACCCGATTACCTAATCTGAGACCCAATATAAATCCAAGCAGGATAACCCAAAATTGATAAGAAACCCAAAATAACTCGAGACAAACCAAAACCAACCCAAATTTTAGTTGGACCAAAAGTAACATGAAATGAACTTAACCAGATTTGAAAGCAACCATAACTAAAAACAACCTAAACCAAAAAACCCGAATCAAAATTAACCTGAACCAAAAGCAACTCGAATTTGGTTTACCCATAACTTAAACATTAATGTTACTGCATATTATTATTTACACATCTTTACTTAGTTTATTATTGATTTATTTCAATTTGCATTCATTTAAATTACTTTCAATTCATTTATATTAAGACACCATGCTATTATTAATTTCTTTATTTCATCACATATAATTTCAGCTCATAAGATTTATATATTATCTCATTAATATCACATCATTTTATACTTAGCTCATGATATTATTTTATAGCTCATAAGTGCCCATTCACGTACGACATCATGTAAATCCTTCATTTCCTAGCTTGTTACATGTTTATTTAGCTCATTTTGCATTCAAATTGGTTCATTAACTTTGCATCTATATATACTCAGCTCACATTATTCAATTCTAGCTCATAAGTGTGACTATATGCATGACAACAAGCTCTTGCATTCATTCCAACTCATTCCATACATTTTATCTCAGTTTATTCATTTGTGTAGGTACATCAAAGGTATGCACACATAATGGTAGCATGGGAGAATATTCAGCCAGTTATAGTAGCTCACAATCAGCTTAAAAGGAATGAAGAAGCTCGTAGAGACTTATGGAGAACTCAATTCAGTTAGAGGAGCTAACATGTAGCTAAACCGAGCTGGAGGAGCCAATTCAATCATGTTTCTAAAAGTGACAATAAGAGTAGCTTAAAATAGCTAAAGGTGATACTAAGAAGCTTAGGAAGTCAAAACTGGAAAGCTTGATTACATCCAACCTCACTTGCTTAGCTAGCTAGTATCTCTCACCTAAGCTTGGATGAAAACCATGTCATGCCTAAGGATGCTACACATATTCAATACTTCATCACATGGCCAAGGTTGCACCATAAGCATCATAGATCATCACGTGCAAGTCATATGACCAGCAACCATGTGCCATGCGTGTGAACTCTCTGTAGGTGCGCCAAATATCAAGATACCTCATCATTCGACCAAGGCACATGTTCCTTCACTTAGGCTACAATTTGAAAGAGTTTAAGCACCATTCAGCCAAGGGATGTGCTCTTTAATCCAGCCAAAACATCACCCTAATTTTTCATGCATTTAATTAATTAATTATGACTTTTTAAATAAACACAAGGGTTAGCCGAAACCTTTTGTAACCATTCGACCATGCCCCTTCAAAGCCTATAAATAGGCTAAGTCATTTTCTTTGTAGAAAAACAAAACTTTGATTATTAATTCAAGTGAGATTACTCTCTTTTCTCAAGTTTTTGTGACTTTTATCGACTTATCAAGTATTATATACTTGTCTCGTTCGTTTCTTTATTTCATTTGATACTTGTGGTTCCTAGATTATTATCTGATGGGTCCAAGTCCTTTTCATCACCCCTTTATAAAGCATATTGAGGATGAGTCTCTGCTATTTAGTATTGGTTCTCCTTAGAGTCTTTCTAAAGATACTATAACATCACCATTACCATTCTTTCATAAGCCTTCACTTTTCCACACCTTAAACAATTTTCATATTCATTTAAACATCCCACCAACTTCCATTTACATGAACTACCAACCCTTTTTATTTAAGCCATTCACTTACTTTGTGGGTTGTTTTGTTTCCTTTCTAGATCCACAAACATAAAGGGTACATCAACCTTATATCATATTCACATTAAATTATTGACTTTAAAGATTTATTAATTCATCTTATTAAAACTAAAATTTATTACTCTGCATTTGAGATGTGACAATATATATTGTATAAAATTATTAAATTATAAGTAATAAAAAGAAGTACCAAACATTATGACTAGAAAGAACGACAATAATTGACCAGTAAATCTAAAGGTTGACCTGAATTGAACCCAATCAGAATTGATCTAAAAAATTAATGATTGACCCAAAATGAAGCCAACCAGTCTGATATTAACCTGACCCAAAGCCAATTGATCCAATATTAACTGGACCTGAAAAAACAACCAATCTGATTTTGACTCAACCTGATACCCGACCCGAATTGAATTTTCACACAATCAAACTAAACAAGAATCGAATCTGATTCGATACGAATAAAACCAAAGAAATCTAGACCCATAATGACCCAAAACGAAATGACCCGACCCAAACCTTATCTAAATAAATTGATTGCCACCTCTATAAAATTTCATCTACCTACGTAACCATTCTATTTGTAAGCATATCTTGCTACAAGTATACTTACTTCCTTCTATATCCATAATCGAGGTTAAACCTACATCGCGTTACCTCGTTTCTTAAAATATATTCATTCAATAAAGGTTTAAGTGATGAAGATATTGAAGCTTGGCAAAAAATCTTCCTTTGATAAGTTTGTTGATTGCTACATTATTTGGTTGCATTACTTGATGATGTGTTTGTTGATATGGCATATCGATTGTTTATGTATATGTTGTTGATGTGGTTATGTATTACAAAATATGGATTCAATGTTTCATTATGATTGGCTACTTTCTGACTTCCCCATGATAGATTGAAATAATTCTTGAAGATTAAATTGCGGGTGTTAGCAATATCATTTCAAATGTGGCTCTTTGTAAAATACATGGAATTAGATTTTCAGGACATTCCTCAAAATTTGATTCTCACTACAATAGAAACTAGTAATAATCAATGTTGATTTAAATTCATACATACCTCAGGTTGTTCCATCTTTATCATCATCTCAGTCAATGTTGTTAAAGGGGTAGTTAATGTGTTCAACACACCATTGTTCATTGTTGCAGCAATGTATCTCCCTGGCATCATCCTTGCGTGAGGATATTCATTATTAGAGATCCTCTCAAGGATGATCTAGGCTTTATTATAAGATTTTTCTAACAATGGTCCATTGGCAGGGGCATGTACAACCATCTTTGTTTTCAAGTTAAGACCATTGTAAAACATATCCATTTGGGTCTAATACTGGAAACCATGAATTAGGCATTTCCAAAGTAAATCTTTAAATCGCTCCCAAGCTTCATACAAATTCTTATCCTCCTATTGCTTGAAATATGTGATGTCGTTCCTCAATCTTGCATTTATGTTGGGAGGATTAAATCGTAGCAAAAGCTTTTAGGCAAGCTTTTTCCATGATGTTATAGCTCTAGGAAGCAATGTGTTAAGACATGACTTGTCTTTTTCACGAAAAGAGTAGGGAATAGTTTCATATTCCAGGCTTTCTCGAGCACTTCTTGTTATAAAAGGAATCATATATTTTCTTTAAGGCTCTCAAATGTGCTGATGGATTCTCTGTATGGATCCTACTTTACTCTCCCATCGACTGCATCATTTGGAACATTATAGGCTTCAACTCGAAGTGTGCAAAATGAATAGTAAGCCTCACGATGCCATGATTCAATCATCCACTATCACCATAACATTTTATCAATAAGCCTATTGTGGTCATCGATGTTCTAGTAATTCTACAACATCTAAATCATTTGTAAAGGCAAATCATCATACTGATCATTTTTTGTTGTGGTTAATATTTTTGCCTCCTTTGGTGGATAATTCACTTGATTTTATAATCAAACGATTCTAATTTGTTATTGTTATTGTGTATATACACCAATAACGCTATGATAAAAAGGCGCCTACAACTAAAAATAAACGTAGTTAGTGAAAACAAATAAAACCAATTCTAGTGCAATACCATTGCTACCCAACACTGGTGCCAAAAAATGTGATGCAACGATATTGCTACAACATTCAACACATGTATATGTATCGTATTCGAGTAGTAATATGGATTTAAATGAATGCATCAGATGTTTAACCCATATAGATCTATGTATTACAAGTTAGAATTGTCAATCCTTTATAAAAGATAATATTAAAGTGAAGTAGTGACAAGAGTATATCAAAAGTATGAATTTAGAATAATAATGATAGAGAATCTAGTAGCATATAAGAGAGCAAAATGATCAATGGACCTAAGATTTCTATTGTTATTTGGTAGTTTCTAATGTGATTGTGTTGTGGTAATACAATTATGTGTCATGCAAAGATTAATACATTAATTTCCCCTAAAACAATTAAACACTTAATTAATCTGAATTAATTATCATCAATCTAATCAATTAAGAAATTAACAATGCAACAATTGGTAACATACATCTATATAAACTAAATTCTGTTTCACAAATACTAATGCTCTGAAAAGGTAGAATGTTACCTCAAATATTTTATTATCCAAAAACAATTAAGATAACATAAAATGAAAGTTAATACTCATCCAGGACATAAAAATATTATTTTAGCAAAATTCACAAAAGAAACATTTAACCGAACACATTATGCTTAATATCCAAAACAACATAAAAAAATAAACATACAAACAAAATAAAGTGTATTCCTTCTCTCAATTAAAAAAACTAAAATGAATTTCAAAACTTAATTGATCATCGTTGTACACAGGGATGCTCCCCATCTACTGCTACACTCCCTGGTGGATTCACACCTCCACAGCCAGTGGAGGAAAGAAGAAAATAAAATGTAAAAAGTGTGTAGAAAAGAGGATATCTATGAAATGTGTGAATGGAAGCCTCATTTATAATCTCCATTGATCAAAGCATCTTCCAATAGAAAAATATGATTTTTCTTTATTTTCCAACCATTTTAAAGCTGTATTGGACAATTATCTAATTCTAGAATTTTCTATAACTACCTACTGAGTCATCAATTGTTCTAGAATCACTACAAAACCCAGTACAATATTAGTGCATAGTAACATCAACAATGTCATAGTATCAGCAAAACAAATTACAACAAAATATTATAAAATAATCTAAAAGATATAAACTCACTCCTAATGTGTAAATGATGTAAGATATGATAAAGTAAACTTACAATGAACATAATATAATCCTAACGATGCTAAAGTTGCTTAACTTATGTAAAAAGATCCTAAATGATAACATTTTTTAGAGACTTATCAATTTGCTAAAAGATTATGATTGTGTTATAGATTACTATTTGGGTAAGCTAACGTGGTAGTGGATGTGTTGAGTCGTAAGTCGATGTTCAATCTATGAGTGATGTTTAAACGGTTTAGTATGACCATGGATGGAGGGTTATTAGGAGAGATATGATTCGATCCAAAGTTCGTTAAGTAGATAAAGGAATTCTAAAATACCAGTGGGCATTTGATGGCTAGAGTAAAATGATTTGGACAAGGTGAGTTGCCCAATTTCGAGGTAAAATAAGGATACATGTTGTTCTTTAGAGATCGACTGTTTGTACTGGAAAATGAGAAATTGAAGGAAAATATTCTTGGCGGGAACCATTTTATTTCACTCTCATTCATCCCTTCGGTTGTTAAGATGTATAGGGAACTCTGACAATTGTATTGGTGGTCGGGCATAAAGAGAAGATATTTGAATTTTTGTATACGTGTTAATGCAATGGGAAATACAATACAATATGAATAACATTATTGTTTGTAGGAGCTTCGTGTAGCATTGAGATATCTATGTTACCTAATTTTGATAGCATTATTAGTAAGAATAATTAGTGGGTATATAGAGATATATACATGCTATGTAAGCTATGGTGAGTTCTTTGAGAAAATGATAACTTGCTTAACTAATGCTTGACACACTAATATGGTTTCTGTATCATTGCTAAATAGCATGTAGCTATTTAACAATCATTAAATTTGATTCCATCAATATAATGCTCCATTAATGATTGTTGCAGTCCATACCATTCTTATTTTCTTTACAATTATCTTTGTTACAACATTGGTTACCACATACCAATACATTTTTCAATAATTTTCTATCAACAACTCTAATTGTAATCACTAACCTTTATGGGATTTGAAACTTGAAATGTTGATTTATGTCCATTATATTACTTGATATGATAGTGTATGATTGCAATTAAAGTTGTTACAATATTTTAAGCCTCAAGTTTTTTGTATCGTTGCTGAGGACTAATGTCACTACTTTTAAGTCTTGTTTCATTACTGGCATATTTTATTTTATATTTTAGGTACCCTTTTTCAGGTTGTTGTTGATGCACGACGCACAATAATAACCAGGGCATAAAACAATACAATCTGGAAATCAATCGAACAATTCATCGAACGAGACAAGTAAATCAGTAGCAGCCAAACATGGCTCAACATGCTAGTGGCAACAATGACAGACTACCATTTCGTATTGAGGATAATGGAAATATCCCACATTAAAATGAATAAAATAAATGGGTAATTCTCCAATTGCAAATATTTTGATGCATCAAGCTTACCACAACATCGATGACCAAACTAGGCAAATTTTAGAGAACGTTGTACCCATTCTGAATAATTCAAAACCTAACATTGTTCGACCTACCATCAATGCTTCCTACATTGAGATGAAATTGATGATGCTTCAAATAATATAATCTATGTGATAATATAGTGGGAAGTACATCTATCACCCACGAGCACACTTAAATGCATTTATGGAAGTATACAATTCATTTGTTCAACAAGGAGTACCCGAAAAAGCGTTGAAACTAAAATTGTTCCTATACTCACTAATGAAAAAGCAGGCATGCTTAACTCACTGCCATTAAGATATATATTATCATGGAACAAACTTGCCCAAAGGTTTTTGTTATGATTCAATCCTCCCAAATGAATGTTAGAATAAGGAATGTCATCACATTTTGTAAGAAATTGGAGAATGAAAACCTTTATAAATCATTGGAGCAATTTAAAGATTTTATACGCAAATGCCTAATCTATGGTTTCCAGCATTGGACGTAAATGGAGATATTCTACAATGGTTTTAACAAACAAACAATGATGATTGTAGACATATCAACTAATAGAGTATTGATGAACAAGTCATAATATGAATCCTACAACATCCTTGAGAGGATCTCCAATAATGAATATCGATATCCTAACACAAGGATTATGTCGGGGAGGCGTGTTGCTGCTACAATGGACAATGATGCGTTGATCATACTAACAACACAGGTGGCATAATTGACTGAAATGATGAAGAAGATGCAAAATCCTAACGTATGTATGAAGTTAAATCAGCATCAATTCTTTCTTTTGTTTATTGTTTTGATAATTATAATTTGAAGAATATCTACAAAACCCCAAGTCTATTTATGTTTACAACATGAATGACAATGCTAACACATATGAAACAATTACAATATAAGATTTTGAAATCATCTCAATGTATCTTGGAGAAGTAAAAATATAGCCAACCCTAATGTAGCATTGCAGTACAACTTAAGAATACATAGCAAAAACTATTAGACACGTCAACAATATGTGTAACAATAGTCACTTATGCCATATCCAAAATCATATCACCAGGCAATACAATAAAAGTAACACAATAATGAGTAGAATTATCAAGGGCAAACATCCAACGAAGCTTTTACATTATCTACACTTGAGTCTTTACTAAAGGAGTATATCTCAAGAAATGAAGTAATAAATCAGATGAATGAAGCCTTGATCCAAATTCAGTTAGCATCGCTAAGATCATTAGAGTTCAAGTCTGACAGCTAGCCAATGGGTTGAGCAACAGACTGCAAAGAGCATTGCCAAGTGACATTGAAGAAGTTCCTAAAGCTAATGGAAAAACACATTGTAATGAGCGTTGCAAAGTTATCACAACACAAAGTGGACTTTAGATAGAAAAATAATAATAAGAATAAAATAAAGATGAAGAGAGGCTTATATAATAATAAAAATGAAAAGAAACAGAAAAGGTGATTGAGTCACTAACAGTTGATGTCAAGACAAAAGGATTTTGGTCATATTAGTAATTCTAAAACATTACACTAGTAGTGTCACCACAATTTCCTCTGTAACTGAAACCAAGACCTCTGCCTCCATTCCCTCAATGATTAAAAATTATAAAAGAGGACCAGTAGTTCAAGAAATTTATTAATGAGATGAAATAGTTGACAACCAACTTTCTGTTAATTGAAACATTGGAATAAAATTTGAACTATATAATGTTCATAAAGGAAGTAATCTCAAAGAAACGAAGAATTGGAGAATTTGAAATTGT